AAAAGGACGAGATGAGAAGCCATGGACTACACGCCCGTGGAAAATAAGAATAATAATAAGAATATATGTAAAGGGCTGGGGTGAAAGTAACAGGAGATGTCGTTGGTCGTCCTGCAGCTCCGCGTAAAGGAAAACGAAAGATGCCTAGTCCGGGCAAGCAAAGCGAGACATAGCTTTGACGTGGCATAAATTGCTTCCTCAGGCATTACGGACGTACATTTACTGTTATTTGCCCTTGATAAAAGTCGAAAGCCAAGTCGCTACACTAGATGGACGTTGGATGAGGAAGCAGGCCTACTGTGGACTTGATATTGAGTAGCTGGTAAAATATGAACGTAGTTCTGCCTAATTGGGGGCGGGAAAAAAGCCGTACTTGTGCTACGGGTGTATGTAAAAGTCTGTTGTGCCACCCGAGCGCTTTGGACGTAGCACAAACTTGCAACGGCACTTCTCGAGCGGTCTTGCATAGCCCAGCTCCGTTAAGCGCAGATGATTTTATTTTTTATTTTTTTTTTCTAGACCAACATTCAAGCTGCACTTTTACTAGGTCTTTATGGCGTCTTGTTGGAAGCAAAACCCCCCCAGCAGGCGATGGACGTTGCTTAGGGATGGTAGTCGCGCAGGCGCCGGGCGGACCGTGTAAGTCAACTAACGCGAAAGAATCCTCAGCAGTAGAAAACGGCACTTCTGGAGATGGGACGGGAGTCAAACTGCAAGGGGGACGTTTTTATTGAATTAACCTTAAAAAAAATACTGGCCCAGCTAAGCATACACAGCACGGCTTCTCTCCCTTCATCAGAGCCCGCGCACATCGATAGAGCTGCACCGCTTGAGCAGGCAGCAGAGAGCAGGCAGCAGCAGCAGAATGGAACTTCAGTAATGTGACAGTGTGATTTGGCCGCATGTAGCTGGGACCTCTGAAGTAGACTGCTGCATTTACACCAAGTAAATGGCTACTGTCGGTCTTTCCTGGCCTTCTACCACGGCCGGCCTGTAAAGCGACCTGAGGGCTGACAAGTACACGTCCCAAGCACTAGAGCAGGGGTGCTAAGCCACCTGCAGCAATGGCAGCGGAAGGAAGAATTCGGACTGTCAATCCAAGTGAAGTGGCGACCACTCACGAAAGGACTTGTGCATTGTTCGTCCGAGAGATCGATGGTGGACTCCAGTATCTCATTGATGCAAGGCTACAGGATCGCATAGTTCGATATCATATATTAGCAGCCAACTTACTCGATAATCTTCAGATCTTGCAACATAAGAGCAAAGTTGAATGATCCCGTAGCTACAGCCATGGCGGGAGAGACAGAGGCGCGACACGTAGCTGTAGACCTCTGCCGACTCTCTGTACCGAAAGTATGAGTCACCTCACCTGAATTCTCAGTCGTGCTTTCTCTCTTGGTGGTGGTGGCGTGCCAGTATCGATAGTTGATTCCTGAGGTTGAAGAAAATGTGAAGATGGCAAGAGTACAAGCACTGGGGGGATGGGGACAGTGACCTCTTGGTTGAGGCCTCCCTCGCTCGACTGAGCTCGTCTGGTCCAGGCTCACTTCTGGGAGTTACTCGTCACCCTTCAATGCCTGGATCTGCATGCACCAGGAGCGGCCCGGCGCGTAGCGGCCCCTCCGGCGTGCATGAGAGTGGGCGAGTGGCAGGTGTCCTGACAGACCACAGTGCTGACAGCACCCAATGGGAACAGAACAACAAAGCCCAAGAAAATTGAGTAGATCACATGTAGCATTGAAACTTACGAGGTGTCTGTCCTGGCTTTATGTCCTGAGGACGACAAAATCTTCCAGCATGTTCAGTAGGCAGTAACGGTGAGGACGCATTCATGACTGCGAGCTGCTGGAAATTGAGCCTGAGAGGTTCTCCAAGGCCTGCCGAGACAGAGTGAGCAGGCCAGGCATGTAAATCTGATGGAAAGGACAAGGCACACGCTCGTAGATCGGGGCTCACAACGTATTGATTCGGTCCAGTGGGATCGTGAGCCGCTCGCTATCCGGAGATATTGTCGTCAATGCCCATACTATTGTCGATGAGATGCTAATGGGATTTGCCGTATTGCGCTTTCCAGCGAGCTTCTCTCCCCTGCAGGTGTCTGCATCTCAAGTCAGCCACTGACGCTTGAAACAAACCACTGGAATACCCTACAATATCGCCCGTAAGAACATGAGTGGCTCTTTGGTGGCGGAGCCTCTTTACTCGCTGATTCAAAGGCTTATGACGAATTATGGAATCGAGGATACTCTCGTTTCTGTCTTGACATGTTGATGCATTACTCAGGGCTCTGTCGTGAAGGATTCAATCTTGGCCCATCAAGATCCCATAGCACCATCAACAGGCCAATTTGAAATGAGTGCATAGTCGCTCGCGAGGGTTTCAATTAATGCATGCAAAGAATGGAGTATTTACTGAAGGACTTTGTGCCAGATTCTGAGGAAGTGAGAGAAAAGTGCTAGTCGCATTATGTAGTGGTTCGAGATCGAACTTCTGGGTAACGTAGATGTTGCAGCAAACGAGATCTGAGTTACTTGCCACTGTGCACACAGGAAACCGAACCAGGTCTGCATATTGTAAATAAATCTTAATAGTAAGTGATCTTAATCATTTCAGCTCTTTAAGAAACTCTTGAGAGCTTATTTTGTCGCGAACCTTCGTCTGTTGCCCTTCGCCCACCAATCGATTCACAGTGCGTAGACTACTTTTCGTTCAATTGCACTGTGCAACATTCTACGCAAATCTCGGGCCTAATGTTCTTTTCATGCCGCCCTTTCCACGAATCGACCAACGACATCTTGTTTCCCTCGACTACCAGTACTGGGACACTGTTGGTCCGGTCGTGAAGGAGCTTTTTGTGCGGCCCTTCAACTGCATGCAGTGGGCCCTGGAGTTTGCTCGAGAAACCTGTCCAGATATATACGGCCCCCAATCTCCATCGAACGACGCGATCCTCGATCGAACCGATGTCTTGTACGACGGAACGTTTACCCCCTTGCACATCAGCGCAGCCCTGGGACTCGAGCCTGTATGCCGAAGAAGTCGAAGGCATGAGCGCCCAGGATGCCATGGCCAAAATTCTTAAAGGCCAGGAACGCGAGCAGCCGGGTTCAGATGCAGCACTGTTGCGTGGGCTTTTCTACACCGCAGCAAACAGGCAGGGGTTCGATGAAGTTTTCCCCGGGTGGGGGTTTCAGTCAGATTTTTAAAAATCACAGAGCCATCAGATATGGATAAGGACCAACAGCGTCCTCTCGCCCTACCACTGTTTGTGACATAACGGCACACGTTACGCACTGGTCGACTTTCATGCGGAACTCAAGTATCCCTCTCTGTGGGCTAATATGAGGCATGCAAGTTACGTGAGACGGCGCTCAAGTCCTAGTATGGTTTCTCGACACTACGGCGACCTTGGAGACGAGGAGTAAACGTCCAACTTGAGCAGCCCGCATATATCACGTCGAAGGCGCTCTCTGGCCACAAAATACATAAAACATCCTCAAGATGCGTTTCAATTCACAGGGGTTCAACTATATTTTACGTTTATCATTAATCGGCCGGCCGTCCGTTGGCAACAGACTCAGGTGTCACCATTACTCGGGTGCCACATAAGGGGTCTCGAATGGCGCCTCAGCCTGCGGGGTTAGCCGCGCGAGATGACGCCGCTGGCCGTTTTCCCAATCGACAAGCGCGGTATGCTGTGTAACACGGTTGTCCCAAACAACGACGGTGCCTTCCTCCCACTTGACGCGAGCCTGAAAGTCGGCTCCGTATGCGAGGTGGTCGTAGAGAAATTTGAGTAGCGTGTCCGACTCTTCTTTCTTGAGACCAACAATGTCACGGGTAACTAGGGTACTGGTTAGAAAATGAAGATGAAAATGGGTTCAAGGGAAAAAAAAAGGGACTCACATTGGGGGTTAACATAGAGAGCCTTTTCGCCGGTCGCAGGGTGAGTGCGAACGATGGGATGATCATGGACTACGGGCTCGCGACGCTTGATGCTGTTTCTGGAAGCAGCTGCATTTACCTGCTCAATCCCAGAGTGCGTGGCACGGAGGCCGTGAAGACGCTCCTGGAAGAGAGGGCTGAGGCGCTTGTAAGCCTGTACTGAATCGACGAAGAGCGTGTCGCCGCCAGTCTCGGGCCGGTCGAGGATGTAGAGGAACGTGGTGCCCGGGGGCTGCGCCTCGTACGAAATGTCCGAGTGCCAAGCGACGGAGCTGGTGCGCGCCTTGAAGTACGCCTCGTGGCCCTTGTCGCCGGCGCCGCGGTGGACGAGATGAATCTCGGGGTGGCCCTCTGGCGCGCCAGAGGTCGGGTGGATGTGGTGGCGGCCAAAGTACTCGCCGTACTTGAGGGCGTCGGGGATGGAGAGGTCGGCGAAATCCTGGTTGCGGAAGGCGACGACTTTGCGCTTGGCGACGTAGTGGGCGAGCTCGTCCTTGCCCTTGTCAGACAGGGCTGAGAGCTGGATGCCGTGGACCTCGCTGCCGATGCTGGGGGTGATATCGGACACCTTGCTGCCCTCGGGGAAGAGGTTGGGATATGTGGTATCGGCATCCTTTCCGTGCTCGTAGTGCTCGAACGGCTCCAGAGGAGGCCACGACTGAGTGCGGTCCCAGGTAGGGAGGTAGTGAGGGTACTGAATCGTGTTAGTCGTCACTTGGCCCGCAACTGGTGATGCAGGTCAGAGACATACCTTGGCGGGAGGCTCGCCAGTCTTGCCTTCTTCGGCTGCCTTGTCTACAAATACTGCGTCAATCTCCTTGTATTGGCCAAGGTGCAGCTTATATGCCTGCGGGAGCTTCTGCTCCGAGACGGTCTTGGTTTCGGTCAGAGAGGGAGCCATGACTGCAATTAAAATGAGATGGGATTGATAAAGTTATGATATGACAACAGGTATGATTATATCCCATTGGGAGCATTGGTTTTATATTTATACCCTCATTGCCCAACAAGAGCAGGCTCCGGGAACCGAAACTCGGACTACGGGCCTCTCCCCCGCAATGACATGCGTGCTGCGTGCGATTGCGAAATTGTCCATGATCAACCTAGTCATACAGTGCATTCCGTGACATGATGTAAGCAGCTCCTCATCGATTGATTAAAGAAAAGCACATAGCATGGTATTCTAGCTGGCTAGTGCGACTCCCCGTGTTTTGGTGCTGTGTGTGGGTGTTGATGCTATCCCGAGAGGCAATCACGCCATTTAGCCTTGTCAGTAGCAGTGGCATGCTGAGTACTGGATGACACCACCACCGCTCGGAGACAAACCCTGAAGCACGCAATACATACGAGATGAAAAAAATTGGGTGCTTTTAGCACTGAATAGCAATGACATTTTGCAGTTCTTGAATAAGGGGGAAATTTAGGACCATCGCGGCGGCGGCGGCGACTGGGGGACTCGCAAACAGGGCGTGCGAGAGCCTTGAGCAAAAAATTGCGAATTGGTTGCTTAGTCTTTGTAGACTTGACGCTGCTACTGTGCTTTGATTGTTTCAGCTTCATGAAAGTGAAGTAGTGGGACACCACACTGTGCCATTTGGAGACTGACTTTACCAGAGTATCGCATCACCGGGGGGTGAAGACAGCGCGATCATGGGCATTGCGCATGGCGACATGAAGAATGTGCGCTTCGTTTTGACAGAGAGAAATCATAGTAGAAACGATTCGAAGAAGATAGGAAAAAAAAAAAAAACACATAGCTAGGAGGAACAGACGGACGGCATAACGTACGACAGCCGAGTGTGTCTGAACGTAGCGAGAAAGACAGCCTTGAGGCAGTGATGAAGCAATCAAATAAGACCACATATGTTGAGAAAGTCTATATCATGAAATCTGCGCCAATGAGTATTTTGCCAATTATGATTGCGCCATCTGTGAGCAAGCCGGCGCCTAGAACCCGGGACAGGAATCGTCGCGCGGCTGTCCAAACCGCAGTACTCCTATGTCTCAATCAATAGCGATGCTATAGTAATATGTTGTTCCGAAATCGGATCGAGTTGAGTTCAATCTCCCAAAACTCTAGTGACTATGTACAGTCGAGGTGTGCGTGGAGTGAGTCTCCCTTGAACGCGGGGAAGAACGCTATTCAGAAAGCCTTCAGTTTGATGCGCTAGAATTCCCTTGAAGATTTTACACTAATACTCAATGCTCTTCTTCGTTTGCTTGTTGCTGCATAGTTTCTCTGTACGTCTTGCCAACAATCTTCAACAAAACCGCAGACTCGCGTTTCCGCACGTACACTACATCAGACTTTAGGGATTGTCTTGATCAAGTCCAGTGGGTTTCCGGCAAAGAGAGCTTATAGTTTTGTTGCAGCCTCGACTTCTCTGCACTCGTGGTATTTTCTTACATCTGTAGGCGGTTAGGGCACTTGTTTGTCGCGCCGTGGTTCGCGAACCAGCTTGTGCCATGCCGCGCAGTCATCTGAGGCAAATCCACCACATGAAAAACGTCCTACTTGTCCGGACCCCCTTCATCAAGTTTGAAAAAGTTTGTCTTTCTGGAAAGTATTTTATTCATCATCTAAATTGAAGAGCTTCTGTCGCTGATTGTGCCTAATCTGTGCCTGTCACTGATGGCCGACGAATCAAGACCAAATGACGGAATAGCCGTTACTGCCTTTCACTCACTCTAGTCCGAGTAATCTTGTCCGTATTTTTCTCGTGCGATTCGCCTTTGACGCTTCACGGCACGTTCTTGTGACTCACAAGAATCGGAGAATCGAGGGTAGTCGGATCGTGTAAATACGTCTCGAAGCCGCCCATCGTTTTCGTGATCAAGCAAAGGCAGCCGTTCCCAGCTGTCCCTATATATTCCCGTGTCCAGTGCCGGCTCTTCTGGGTCTACTCTGTCAAGACTGTCGTCGCTGGGCCTCAACGGTAACGGACTGTTGATGGCGGCATCGTCCGTGTCAGCTTGCAGAAAGTCCAGGTACTCTTTCTTTTGCGTGTCAAGCAACTTGCAGATACGATTTGTCCTACGATCTCTGTCTGAGTGAATGTATACCCCATCAGGCTTTTGATATGTATTAGCGAGGCTCATTATCTTGTCAGTGCTCCGCGTGCTGATTTGACTCACATCAATGTCGGCATCGTATTCGGGAAAGGGACCAGAGCTCTCATGGCGGCGCTCAAAGAGAAGAATGCCGCCAATGATGTAGTTCTCTGCCCAATATCCAATCATGTCACTCGAGCCATTCGTATAATGCTTGTAGTTCTTGTACCACTGGACATGAAGCCAGGTAGGCAGAGGCCCATCTGGCGAGTATTCCCAGAATACCAAATCGCTTTCAGGCGGGTGGAAGGCAAGCAGACCGTCTGCTTTATGAGGACTCTCGTCTAGAAATGCAAGTTCAACTGCTATTTGATGAATGGCTCGTGATACGAGCTCAATCAAGCGAGTTTTGAATAATCGCGATCCAGGTGCGGCGCTTTGGTATGCAACCATGGCCTAAATGGAGCATGTTAGCCAGCATCAACTACCGTGGGGCACGGGTCGAACCTGAGAGTCTAGAGGAAGGGTTTCAGCATCAAAGCTTTTGCGAAACTCTTCTAGGCGCTCCAATGTTCCGGGACATAGCTGCTGGTGTGTTGTCCTTGACGGATGTGAAGAAGGCAGGGTTCTTGTTACATGGCCATCGTCCAGCAAGGCACCAGCAGGAACACCATCCAAAACCTGAGCAAAAGTATTGCGTGCAGCCTCTGTTTCGCAGACATTGCCGATGGCATGAAGTAATAAGTCTCGATGGTGCTGTGTGAGGGTACAAATGCGTCGAATTGAGTGTGCTGGTGTTTCTCGGATGTCATGCGTAGCCATTCTGTGGGCTAGAGCAGGAACGCGGTTGTTGTTGTTGTGTTGCGGTTCAAGAATCTGGCAAGGGAACAACACCTATGTGACGGAAAATTCTGCTGAAATGAGCGGGGAGTCAAAGAGACCTTGTGACGCGAAGAATTTCCGAGTGCGAGCTCGTTGGCCTGCTGATGCTAGGTGAGCGTTCAATAAGCGCGCCCAGGACAAGCCTCATTTTCTCCAATACCCCGCGTTGGTCAAGACCGGCTATGCCGACTGAGTGAAAATTGTAAGAAGCGTGCCATTTTATTGCTTGATCTGAAAATCTTCCTATAATAGACCTCTAGAGGTGATTTTGCAAAATCCACTGCCTCTAGCTCGACGGGCTATGGCTTTAACATGGTAACTGCATTGGCCTGTCGGCGGCAAAGACGACAACCTGGCTCAGCGCGTTGCAGAAAGCACGGCTTTTATTTGTTGTACCGTAGGAAGAGGTTCAAAGAATTGGTGGAGCGGCTCATCTGGTGCCAAAAGTTACAGGCCCAAAGATGATGATGATGAACCTCCCGGGCTCACAACTGTGGAGCAATCGATGTATTTGCATCAAGGGGCACAGCTATGTAGCACAGCACAGAAGAATTAACAGAAATTCCGTTTTTTGACCAAGATAGACTTGATTCTCTTAATCCAAAGATACACAGGAGATTCTTTTCGTTTCATAATCAAGAAGCTGCGCAATATGCATCATCTTGCTGTACGACCTCTATTTGGGGCCCAGAGCGCTCTGATTCAGCTCACGCATACCGCCCAAAGACATGCATATGTCTAGATATGCATTCTCATTCAAATCATCAATCGTCATGAATTCCCATCTGTCGTCACCCGGTAAGCAAGACATTTTCGGGTGTAGCCAAGACTTGAGCGGGACTGTTAGTCTATCCCTGGCAAAAGCTGAGCAAGACGGGAGGCTGTCGCGTGGTAATACTCAAGGTGGACAGCGGAACGACGGCCTTGATCTTGGGACGATCTGCATGCGGCTGCAGAATGGGGCACTTTCTCATTTCCGACGCCTGACCGGATTTTGTTGTCAATTACAAAGCTGGATCCAGACTGCAGTACACTATCGAAATCTTGTTCAAGGGGGGAGGGGGTCCGTCAACGAATACTTTTCGGCGCATATGCTCTCACTTCACGACACTAGTTATTACCAAGTACTAGTAATTGGACTAGAAGCGGAGACATGGGCGGCAGAATGAACAATACTGCTTCACATAAATCTCAATTGACTAGGGTGTGTTATTTCCGGTGTATTCTTATCTCTCTCGCTAATGTCTGGGTAACCGCCAAGCAGTCAAAAGTGCGACTTATTATATGCCGATACTGCAATATCCCTGCAACCCCCATCACGGCTGAAAACCACGAGGGGGGGACAGGGGGTTAGGTAGCAAAAGACATTGAGACGTTGCTCTTTGTGCATATTGAATCAGCCCTTGTCGTTTGGTATATGGACTCGGCGCATCGAAAGTTACGCTTTCGGCAGTGATTTAGGAAAATGCAACCGGTGCGATGAAAATAGCGAGTGAAGAGAGCAGAGCGACGGATCATTCGACTACCCGCCGCTTGGGGTCAGCCGGCTATAGAAGTCCGGAAAAGACGGCAGGGGAAATGAGACTTGGCCCATCGATCTGTGCTTGGCAGCCGCTACAGGGATGGTGTATTAATTTTCCTTGAGGGTCACGAGGGTCTCGCTGTGTCTAGGTCTCGGCTTCTCTTCACAAGTTGTACAATATGGACCCTGCACCATTTAGAGTATAGAATTGCCTTTAAAGTTGAGCCTAACATGTTTTTTTCTTTTTCGTTTTCGCCCCGACTTGACCCGCGACATTGTTTGCAGGACTTGATAAGGGGCCAGTGGCACAGTGTTTAAATCAGGTTTGCTTGAGGCGAGTGGCTCTTTTTTTCCGGCGGCCCACGCGCTTTTCAGTGATTGTTGAATAAAAGGGCCTAGCGACAAGTCAAGCACATGGCAGCGTGGATGCGACGGCACACATTTCGGTTTCCGAAGGACAGGGACATCTCTCAGTGCTTAATGGGGAAGGTCGACGCAGTCCACCACCCACAACCCGTAGAGCTGCTGAGCCAATAATAACCTGCCTACTAGCGCTGAACAGATGCGGTTTGGTTGGATAAAGACATCGAAGAAGACCTGCAAATGGAGAAAATAAAACTTCGCACTCTTAATGGTCTGGAGCGGTATGAGCGGCATGAATTAGCCCCAAGTGGCGTTTCTGTAAAATTGTTCAAGTTTATAGTTACTATTGAGCGGTGACTTGGACTTGCGACGCGGGCAGGCAAAGTCTCCACCCTGACTTATCAGATGATCAAGATAAATGTCGCAGGATCTGATAAGAAAACTCTGCAACAACGCATGGCAGCAGCGAGACGGACAAGACGAGACAATGAACGAGTCCAAGTTTAATCAACATGTCTTTTGCATCTAGACGTAGATTGCTCCGTCAGCATGTTCAATTTCCCTGCCTCGGACATAATCGGCGACTCCTCACAGGGTAAGGATTGTAGCTTGACAATAGCGCACTATCCCACATCCATGGGTGGTGATGCCCCCTCTCCTTGGAACCAGGTGGATCTAATCAGTGGGATTGATGCTCACCGATTTCCGGCATGTGGCGAAAGAAAAAAAATAACCCCCCCGTCAAACGACGGCTCAGCTCGAAGCCCAATTTTCTGCCCGTCGCCTCCTCAGGATCGGCCGCCCCCCCCCAAGTTCTGTATTTCCCGCACAACACACAATCCGCAACCATAGCGTTGCAGTTGATCCGGCTAGTCGGAAACGTGCACGTCCAAATTTTGTTTTCTTCTGTTTTTTCTCCGCCTCTAGACTTGTTTCGTCTTTAGTGTGAGTGTTGTTTGTAACTAGGGGACACAAGAACTTATAAGACAATCGCCCCCCCGGTCCCCCGAGCTCGCCCGGCATGTCGCACCCTGCATCTTCTTCTTCTCCGCAAGGAACGACCACCGCTACCAAGAGTGACGCCCGTACGCATCTTCTCTCACACGTGGCACGTAGTCGACAGCACGCTTTCTTTACGGGCGAGTCCAGCACCATGGCGACGACCAGCGCTTCGGCCGCCGAGCCCGGCTACGGCACCGTCAAGCACGGAGACGTCGAAAGCTTCAAGCCTAGCGATGACGACGAGGTTCGCGAGCTCAACGAAGATGGACCGACATCGGAGGCGAGCTCTATTCATGTACAGGATGGTGTCAGGCGCGTCGAGGCCATTACGACAGTGTGGTCAAAGAAGACCATGACGGTCATGTTTGTTCTGTAAGAGACTCAACTCTCCTGCTCCTGCCCCCACCCC